TTTTTGGGTTTTTTTTGTCAATCTAAGATACGTTTAATTATTTTGAGTACATGAATTTTTTTACTTTTTTCTGTTCTGCTTGCTTGTTTATTTTTTTTTAGATTCAATTTTTCAAAATTATATATTTTTTATTATTAATTTTAGAGACAGAGGAAAGGGGGAGAGAGAGAGAGAGAGAGAGAGAGAGGGAGAGAAAGAAACATCATTTATTGTACCACTTATTTATGTATTCACTGATTGGTTCTTATATGTGACTTGACCAGGGATCAAACCTGCAACCTTGTCATATCAGGACAACGTTCTAACCAACTGAGCTACCCAGCCAGGGCTAGTTTCAATTGTTGATAGATAGTATTTATTGCCATTTTATTGTTCATATTTTTTATCTTTTTTCTTCTTCTTAAAGATGACCCTTTAAAATTTTATGTAATACTAGTTTGCTGGTGATAAACCCCTTTGGCTTTTCCTGGGCTGGAAAGCTCTTTCTCTGTCCTTCCATTCTAACAGATAGCTTTTTTGGATTGAGTAATCTTGGTTGTAGGTCCTTGCTTTTTATCACTTTGAATATTTCTTGCCACTCCCTTCTGGCCTGCATAGTTTCTGTTGAGAAATCAGCTGACAATTGTATGGGTACTCCCTTGTAGGTAACTAACTGGTTTTTCCTTGCCGCTTTTAAAATTCTTTCTTTGTCTCTAACCTTTGGCATTTTAATCATGATGTGTCTTTGTGTGGCCCTAATTGGGTCCATCATGTTTGGGACTCTGCACTTCCTAGACTTATATATCTATTTCCTTCACCAGGTTAGGAAAGTGTTTTGTTTTGTTTTTTAATTGTTTAAAATGTTTTTATTGATTTTAGAAAGAGAGGAAGGGGAGGGAGAGAGAAACATCAATCGCTGCCTCCTGCACACCCCCTAGTAGGGATTGAGCCCACACCCCAGGCATGGGCCCTCACCAGAAACTGGCGACCTCTTGGTGCAAGGGACAGTGCTGAACCAGCTGAGCCGCACTGGCTACGCCAACAGATTTGGGAAGTTTACCACCATTATTTTTTTTACGCAGCTTTCAATTCCTTGCTTTCTCCCTTCTGGGATCCCCATGATGTGATTATTGATATACTTGAAGTTGTGCCCAAGGCTCCTTACACTATCCTCACTTTTTAAATTCTTTTTTTCTTTTTATTGTTCTGATTGGGTGTTTTCTGCTTCCTTATATTCCAAGTATCTGATTTAATCCTCGGCTTCATCTGTTCTACTGTTGATTCCCTATAATGTAGTCTTCATTTTAGATAATGTATTCTTCGTTTCTGACGGGTTCTGTTTTTATGCCTCCTATCTTTGTTCAATTTCTCATAAAATCGTCTACTCTTCCCCTAAGTTCATTAAGCATTCTTATAACCAGTGTTTTGAATTCTGCATCTAGTAGATTGCCCATCTCCTTTTCTGGATTTTTATTTTGTTCTTTAATTTGGGACATGTTTCTTTTGCCTCCTCATTTTGGCCGCCTCGCCGTGCTTCTGTCTGTGTGTTAGGTATGGCTGCTGCATCTCCCGGCCTTATGTAGTGGGTGTTCTGTAGGGTCCAGTGGCACAGTTGGACAGTCCAGATTGGCACCCAACCCCCCGCCCCATGTGTGTGTACACTCTCTTGTTGTAGTTGAGCCTTGATTGTGTTGATATATTTTTCTCTTGTTCCCCAAAACGTATCTCATTTTTGTTTAGGTTTTCAAATGTTTTAGCTTATAGCTGTTCATAATATTCTTCTACAAAATTTTTTAATCTCTTTCATTCACCATTTTTATTTGCATTTTCTTTTTTTTCTTATTCAATCTTGTCATAGATGTGTTTGTTCTAATAATCTTTTCAAAGAACCTGTTTTTTTTTCAATATTCTTTATTGTTGTTTTTCCTTATTTCATTGATTGCTATCCACACTTCTACTATATTCTTTTTATTTCTTTGGGTTTGCTCTGTAGCTCATTTTTACCTTCTGAAATACATGCTTGACTCATCAGTTTTATTAACTTTTTTATTTCCTAAAAGTTTTTACTTGAAGTTAACAATTTCATAGTGGCTGCACTAATTACATTCCCATCAACAGTGTACAAGGGTTCTCTTTTCTCCACAACCTCTCCAATATTTAGTTCTTATCTTATTAATAACTAGAGGCCCGGTGCATGAAATTTGTGCACGGGTGCAGTCCCCAGGCCTGGCTGGCGATCAAAGTGCGAGCTTCTGGCGTGGAAGACCAGGTCCCAGCTGACCTCTGGGCCCTGGGCAGTACCTGGGCCCTTGCTCGCACCTACCTTGGCCTGGCGCCGCCCGCTCACCTGCTCCACAATCCCACTGTGGTCCCACTCTCATTGGGGCCTATCGGGGCTGGCAACACCTCCACTGCCGCCCCGCTGCCAGCTCCACGTTGCTGACGCCCACCATGATCTGCGCTGCCCCCTGGTGGTCAGTGAATGTCATAGTGAGCAGTTGAACTCCCAGTCTCCCAGTCGAATGACCGCCCAATGGGACAATTTGCATATTAGGCTTTTATCGTATAGTACTAGAGGCCTGTTGCACGAAAAGATTCATGCAATTGGCCTGGGTCCGGGGTGCTGGAGTAAAACCGGTGCCGCTCCGGCCAGAGCCTCCTTCGAAACATCGATCAGCTGCCTCCTACACACCTCCTCCTGGGAATGTGCCCGCAACCAAGGTACATGCCCTTGGCCAGAATCAAACCTGGGACCTTTCAGTCCACAGGCCGACGCTCTATCCACTGAGCCAAACCGGTCAGGGCAGGATAGCCATTCTAACAGGTGTGAGGTGGTATCTCATTGTGGTTTTGATTTTCATTTCCCTTATGACTAGTGATGTTGAGCATCTCTTCATATGTCTGTTGCCCATTTGTGTGTATTCTTTGGGAAAATGTCTATTCATGTCCTCTGCCCACCCCTTTTTTTTGGCCCATTTTTTAATCAGATTGTTGTTGTTGAGTTGTGTGAGTTCTTTATATATTTTGGATATTAGCCTCTTATCAGAGGTACCCTTTGCAAATATCTTCTCCCACTTGGTTGGTTGCCTCAAACAAACTAACAGAACAAACGTAGATACACACAACAGAATGGTGGTTACCCAAGGGAAGAGGGGGTGGGGGGAGAAAAGGGTAAAGGCGGTTGAGTATATGGTGACAGAAGGAAGCTGGACTTTGGGTGGGGAGCATGCAATAGAGTATACAGATGTTAAATTATAACCTTGTACACCTGAAAGTTACATAATATTATTAATCACCGTTACCCCAATAAATTTAATTTTTAAAATGTTAAAAATTTCCCAGAAGTACTGCTTTAGCTGTGGCCCTCAAGTTTTGACAAAGATATTTCATCTTAAGCATGTTTTTCACATTTTAACATCTCTGGAGTTGAGATTGCATCTTATGGTCAGCGGCATGACGTGTTTCAGGTAGCAGCGTTTTCTCTCCTAGCGTAGGTAAGATGTGGGTGCAGTTATGCTCAGGGGCATCTTCAGTGTAGTAACACACTGCACTGTGTTTTCACTGTCTTCTAGCTCTAAGTATTTCATCATTTCTCTTCTGTGTATTTTCTTAAGTTCATGTTTAGTAATATGAAACTACTAAATAGTTTTCTGATATGAGGTGTTTTTAGTTGTTATTTTGTTGTGAGTGTCTGATTTTATTACATTAAGGTCAGAGAATACAGTTTTTGTATTATTTCCTAAGAATTTATTAGGACTTCCTTCTGTCCTTAGCCTTTCTGTGTCCTTTTATTTTAAGAATGTCTCTTATAGCCGTAACCGGTTTGGCTCAGTGGATAGAGCATCGGCCTGCAGACTGAAAGGTCCCGGGTTCGATTCCGGTCAAAGGCATGTACCTTGGTGGCAGGCACATCTCCAGTATGGAATGTGCAGGAGGCAACTGATCGATGTTTCTCTCTCATCGATGTTTCTAACTCTCTCTCTCCCTTCCTCTCTGTAAAAAATCAATAAAATATATTTAAAAAGAAAAGATAAAAGAATGTCTCTTGTAGACACAAGAAAACACAGTGCTTTTTTTTGCCCCTCCTTGTCCCACAGCATCTGCCATGGTTAAACGCCTGGGCTCAGAAAGTCACACTCAAGTAACACTCCAGGGCTCTGGGGAAAGGCGGCAGTGGGAAAGGCTCTTGCAAGTGTTATGATGGCACCCAGTGAACAGCCAGCCCTGCTGCGCTCGGGTGAGGAAGAGGCGTCTGACCCAGCCTTGCTTTTGTAGGACACAGAGAGCAGTTTGCAGCAAAAGGATGAAACCATCGCATCTTTTGAAGAAAAAATCAATCAAGTCATGTCCAGCATGAAACAGATGGAAGAAAGGTAATCCCTCCCCTGGAGATACTCCCTGGAATGGGCGAGGCTTTCTCCGCGCCTGAGTCTCTCCCAGAAGAGCAGACAGGTGGGCTGGCTGCCCTTAGCCTGGGGCCTGCATTCACTCCCATCCTCGCAGGGCAGCAGGGCTTTCCAGGGCTCAATGTCACTGTCACAGTTAGACCTCAGGTCAGTAGCGGATCAGAATAGAATCTGAAAATAGACCCACAAATATGGGCAACTGATTTTCTACAAAAGTGCAAAGGCAGTTCAATGGAGACAGGATTGTGTTTTCAGTAAATGATGTTGGAACAACTAGACATTGCTAAGCCAGAAAATAACCTCAATCTATATCTCACACCTTTATATAAAAATGAACTCAAAATGGATCATAAGTGTAAATATAAAATTTTAAACTATAAAACCTTTAGAATACCTAGAAAGTCTTTGTGACCTTGGGTTGTACAAAGAGATCTTAGACATGATATAAAAGCATGATCCATGAGAGAAAAACTTGACAATTTGTACTTCATAATTTAGAACCTTTATTCTGTGAAAGACACGGTTAAGAGAGTAAAGCCCGAGCCGGTTTGGCTCATTGGATAAAGCGTCGGCCTGTAGATCGAAGGGTCCCGGGTTCGATTCTGGTCTAGGGCACATACCTCAGCTGCAGGCTTCTCCCCGGCCCTGGGCAGGGTTCATGCAGGAGGCACCAAACGACGTGTTTCTCTCACATCAATGTTTCTCTCTGTCTTTTCCTTCTCTCTTTCACTCTAAAAATCGATGGAAAAATATCCTCTGGTTGAGGATTAAAAAATAATAATAAAAAACAAGATAGCTCTCATGAGGGAATGGATGACCATACTGGCCCTGAAATACTACTCAGCCACAGAAACATGGACTGGTCTCGAAGATACTGTGCTGAGAGAAAGAACCTAGTCTCCGAGGGGTATATGAATAATAATCCCATTTCTCTGGTGTTATCAAAAGACAAAGCCATGGTGTCAGAGTTGCCAGGGGTCAGGGATGGGAAGGGGAGTTACAGGGGACCCCACTAGGGAGTTTTCTCGGGGGGGGGGGGCTGCTCTGTTTCCTGGTGGCCATGGTGATTACACAGTCTGGAGACATGCGTGCTGAAACTCATGGAACTGGACACACACAAATCAGTTTTACTGTCTATTAATTAAAAATGAAAGAAAAAACTGAGCAGCAAGAATATGAAAAATTGCTACGTTGAATCGGAGCTCTGATCCTTTCTTTAAAGCGCTGTGTTCTTCTGGCCAGGTTGCAGCACTCGGAAAAGGCGCGGCAGGGCGCCGAGGAGCGGAGCCGCCAGCTGCAGCGGGAGCTGGGCTGCCGAGTGGGTGCCCCGCGGCTGCAGACAGTGCCCTGCAGGGCTGGAATGGGGGCGAGGGCAGGGGTGCTGAGGAGAAGTGCAAAGCCAATGAGGAGAGAAGAGACGTGTGTATCCCCCATTTCACAAGTGAGGAAACGGGGCACAAACTCCTAACCCTCACAGCTCCCGCCCCCCCAGGATCCTCCATCGTTAGCATCCATCTCGGTGGAGGGTTCTGCTGTGCACCCCTGAGTGTCAGAGCCCGTCCCTTCCTCTGCATGCCTGCGAGGACTGTGGGGTGCATGCCACGCCCACCCCCTACATGCTCCTGGCCTGGACTGTGGTGTGCAGGCAGCTGGGGGGCAGGGGGGGGGGGCAGCCGTGTTTCCATGCTTTGCTGCGGGGTCTAAGGCTCAAATGGAATTCAGTCTCCTGTGAATTCCATTTCCTGTGTGGTGTCTTGGGTTGGATTGTAGATTTACCATGAAAATCTCCCACAGAGACTAACTCACATTCGTTTTGGGAAAATAGCTCAAGTCTTGAGAAAGAATTGAAATCAGAAAAAGAGCAAAGGCAGGCCCTCCAGCGGGAGCTGCAGTGTGAGAAGGACACCGCGTCGCTCCTCCGGGCAGAGCTGCAGCAAGTGGGAGGGCTGAAGCGGGTGAGTGCACTGTCCTGGGGCAGAGAGCGGCCAGCATGGGAGTGCTGCTCTCTGCTTCCCCGGCTGGGAGGCACCGTCCCCCACTTCCTAGCCTCTGCTCTCGGAGGAAAGGGCAAGGCTAAGCGAAAGCCAGTGAGCAGACCAGAGACTCGGTGGTGAGTGCTGTGAAGAGACTGGAGTAGGAGACAGTCCCGTGTGGCGGGTGGTCTGGGAACAGAGCGACAGTCACCCCGAGACGGAGACGGGAAGGACCAGCCAGCACCCCAGGCGGTGTGAGGTGTGTCGTGGTGAAGAAGCAGAAAGAAGCCTGTGGCTGAGGAGTGAGGAACGGAGGGAAGAGGCGATTGAGCCGAGGCCTCCAGGGAACAGCCGAGCGGGGCCTCACAGCTATGAAATTGGGTTTTATTCTGAGCACGACCAGAAGCTGTTGGAGGGGCCTAATCCACTTCATTTGAAGGCCATCGCCACCTAAATTACCATGTCTCCCCAGCAAGCAGGGGCCCGGCCATTCCGGTCAGAGCTGCCATCCAGGGACCTGGGTGCATCCCTGGCTTCTCCAGGCGGGGCTGGTGCTGGGCTCAGGGTCTGCGAGCCACAGGCGGCCTTCCCACACCTCCCCTCTGGACGAGGGTCCTTGGGTGGGGCAGCCTCCAGGCCTGGATTTTGTTGTTTAACGTGGTGATGGATGCCGCCGCACAACTCAAACGACCCACGAAAGGCCCTGTTGATTTCTGTCGGAAAGTGCCTACCACCTCCTGTGAGAGCGCCCACCGGGCCAGGGTGGGGGTCACTGAGGAGGAGAGAGGTTCCTCAGCCGCCACTCAGCTCGCAGAGCGGAGGGAAGCAACAGAGGGGGCAGAGGACTTCTAGAAAGCTCTGCTGTCATAGAACGTACGCCCATACTCCACTTCAGAACTCTGGTGTAAGTTTTGAATTCCACACCCACTGCTCCCCACACACAGAAAAAAAACAACGTGTCTGGCGTTGCCCGCAAGCCTGTGTGAACAGGCTCTGGGGGAGTGCCCACCACTCAGGCTGAGGCCCCACGGCACCCAGGGTCAGCCCTGGACCCCAAGTTACTTTTCTGGGTCTTCATTTGGCCCTCATCAGCCCACGTCCTCCAGGTGGAGAGGCCTAAGCCAGCACTCGGACATCCTTAGCGCTGCCAAGGAGGCAGGAGAGGCCCGCAGCTGTGAGCCTAGCTTGTGGCTGAGCAGAGCTCCCCCTGTGGGAGCACACTGGCCACCAGGGGGCAGGTCCTGCATTGAGCGTCTGCCCCCTGGTGGTCAGTGCACATCATAGTGACCAGTTGTTTGCAGTCATTCCACCATTAGGGTCAATTTGCATATTGCCCTTTTATTACAGGATATCCTATATAATAAAATAGAAACGTCCATCCGCTAGGCTCACCAGCCAATCAGGAGAGTATGCAAATTAACCTGACAAAGATGGGAAGCCTGCAGGCACGGGAAGTCTCCCTCTCCCCAGAGTTAGGAGCACCAGCCCAGGTCCACCCAGCGCCGGGTCCTGACTGAGGGGGTGAGTTCCTGCAGGCTGGGGTTTGATCCCTAGGCATTAGCAGTAGGAGACCAGTGCCTTTGTTATTGCTGTGTGTCGGGGTTTTAATTGGACAAATGCTT